GTCGCTTTTAATCCACTCTTTATATAAAACTTTGCTATTATTCATTTAAAAGCAGAATTGATTTTTAATTTTTATTCGTAATGGTTACGAATTTATACAGTAGTATTTTTCATTTGGGAAACAATTTGCTTGTTTCTCCATGTCCTCCACTGGTAATTTTTTTATAGGCCCTATCACTGTGTTCACGGACATATAGAAATTAACATGATAAAATGCCTTCAAATTAGTCTAATAGGACGTAAGAAAGCAAATTTTTCCGGGGCCTTCGGCCCCTGCACCCCGACCGGGGGCACTGGGCGGCCACCTGGCCCCCAGCCTGGTTGCTCGCTGCGCTCGCAAAACGCACGCCCCCCCCCCCATTCAAAAAGCTGGATACGGGCCTGTTACATCAAAATCGATTAATAGATATTCTATCATTAATAGGCCTAATAAATATACTTTCTTAATTACATTTTATGTAGAGCGGTGTTGCTCCAGCAACAATATTGACTTGCTTAATTCAGTGTACGCCGACTGACCGATTGATAATGGTGATAAGTATAGAATATTCACACAATATTATGTAGACGTAGTTTATTGATTCTATATCATTGACCTACTAATTGATTAAGGTACGCATCACTATTGTCGTTCGAATTACATATTGACAATTATCAGTATTATTAATACTCGCAAAAAATTGCGAGGATATGAGTGCTGAGGGAGGGTTCGCTTTCACAGATATAAGGTCTATGCTACCTACCTCAGCTCACCATAGTTTTGGGGCTGAGGTACCTCCAGATGGCACTCTCAGACTCAAAATTCGAGTAGTCTTCTTTTTTCCTCAATTTATGTTTTAATTTTGAAAAAAAATGTGTGTTGGGGGGGGGGGCAGGCCGGCTGGGTCCCCCTTGAATCCGCCACTGTAAACTATAATAAATTTTAGAAAAACTTTTGCAATTAAATGAAAGACAAATTACCCTTTAAATAAAGAACTCTGCCAAAAATTCTTAATTATAATATTGAGAAAAGCAGTTTAGATAGGCATACTGGCGAATAATAAAAATGGTTAAAATGGATTGTACAATTATACATGCTAAAATTTGATGAATGTAGACATTCTTTATTCGTGTCGCATTGACTTATTTTAGTGATTAACATGGTCAGGAGTTTATAATATTTTTATTCCATTATTTAGTGAACATATACGTGTTTCTATCAGCCGCGAATACTGAAGTGGTATACTTTCCACTTATCTATACTCTGTTGCTCCTTTCGCTGTACTACTAACGTAATTTGAATAATGAATTCTCACATGTGTTGCTTTTGTATCGTGACAATCCTCATCCAATGTTGTTTCGTAGATTCGTAAAATTGGTTTTTTTTAATGATATTTTAATAGACATAAATAAGAGCTCAAAATATGCCTGTAATAATAAGACATTTAAAAGAATGGTGCTACGATATATTTCTTCCACAGCTGTGCACGTCTGGAAGGCAAATCGGCACAAATATAAGGCCTTATTCAATTTAAAATATAGATAATGACTATAATTAGCATTATTATTACAATTAAAAAAATATAACACTATTCACTAATGTAAATTATTTTGCTCTGCAGTTTTTCGTCGAAATCGACTAAGAAGTCAGTTATACTACTGTCTCTTATACACATCTAGATGTGTATAAGAGACAGGTATTAAGATTGTATAAATGTAAAATGAGTTACAATAAGAATACTAGAGCGCTGACTCCACACGCGCAATTTAGTCGTATCATGATGATCCTTTTATACCCCGTCACGGGTTAAATGGATAGATAGCGTATACATACATTATAATTATGCTTATACCTCTGTTTTCTGTCGATGCCAAGAATAAAAATGTTGATTAATTTGTTTCAAATGCTTCTAGTTGTTTGAATCATCTCATTTACAGTCGCTTTTAATCCACTCTTTATATAAAACTTTGCTATTATTCATTTAAAAGCAGAATTGATTTTTAATTTTTATTCGTAATGGTTACGAATTTATACAGTAGTATTTTTCATTTGGGAAACAATTTGCTTGTTTCTCCATGTCCTCCACTGGTAATTTTTTGATAGGCCCTATCGCTGTTTTCACGGACATATAGAGATTAACATGATACAATGCCTTCAAATTAGTCTACTAGTACGTAAGAAAGCAAATTTGTCCGGGGGCCAAAGGCCCCCGGACCCCGACCGGGGGTATTGGGTGGCCCCCCCAGCCTGGTTGCTCGCTGCGCTCGCAAAATGCACCCCCCCCCCCAAATTCAAAAAGCTGGATACGGGCCTGGTGTTGGCGATCAGAGGCCTAAGAAGAAGCCATGTAAGTGTGAGATTTTAGGCCTAAATAAAATCCATGTAATGGTTATGGTTACAGGTAAGATGTAAGGTCGGATAAAAAAAATTGTTAGGTTGTCACTTTCCCACACAGTAAAAAATATAATTAATTTCAAATAAAAAAAACTGGCATTTTTTTTAACACATTATGATTTTGAATAATTTAATTAGTTTTTAATGTAGGTATCAGTTGTAGAATTCTAACACAAATGATGTTCACAGATGCTGGACATTGTCATTTATTGGAGCAGTCATGTTAAAGTATAGTGTGATTACAGAGTAGCCTATATTTAGTGATGATCAAGTTTGCTACATAGCACCGTAAACACAATACTGTATAAACAAACAGATAAATAATAACAGTGCTCAATTAGAACACATTGTACGAAGCAAAGCATATCATTATTCAGTTGAATGACTGGCAAGATTTATCAAGATGGGTAT